ATGCCATCAAGGCAATGCACCATGTCATTCGTCTGCTATGGAAAGAACGGAACGGAAGTCAAGTTTAAAGAGCTTAAACGCGAAACCAAAAAGTGGACCGACCAGAAAAGTTCCGTCGACCAGCGAGTGCTCACTTGGCTGCGCATCGGCCATACAAGGCTTACACACGAGTTTCTTTTGAAAAAAATCTTCACCGCCACAATGTGAATACTGCGGAACGGTCGTGGATGCACGCCACGTGATTCTGCACTGCAGGGTGTTTGAAAAAGCCAGGATAAAACACGAAATTGATTCAACCAGCCTACATGCGCCGTTATGCAACGACGATGACAAGGAAAGTGGTTGTTGAAGTTTCTGTAGGAAGTCAATATGTATCGAAGAATCTAAAGGAAAAAACAGGAAGATGATCAAGAGGAAACAGTAGAAGACGGAACGGATGAGACGTGGTGAAGAAAACGAAAAAAGATGAAAAGGATAACGGGATGGAAACTGACGAAGAAGAGAGCAAAAGAAAATGCAGAAACTGCGAAGAGGAATGAGCGGAAACAGAAGAAGACCAAGCAGAAGAAAATTAATGGAAAATGCAACTGTGCGAAAATTAATGAAAAAATACGAAGATGCGGATGAAGAAGGTGAAATTCACCTGAAATTCAGGTGAATCAGTGGTGAACAAGGAAACCAACCGGTACACACATTTACTGGTACGGTCCTCAAAATCGCAACTCGTGTGAACGAATTTTGCACACAGTGTAAAGTTTTCATTTCGTTTACACGGTAAACGAAACTGAAACTAAAACCGGGCCTCGGTTTCGAAAACACAACCGAATCCATCAGAACCGTTTACACGTGTAAAAGAGTTTGGGGTCGGGTGTATGGAATATCAACCACGGATTCGGTTCAGTTTTTGCAAACCGAACCTGGTTTTTGCTGAACATGGTTGAACGGTTTGGCGAAGAAGCTGTAAATGGAGGTGAAGTGCTGCCGAATGTGCAAGTGAATTAGAGCTTAGATGATCAAAATTCAAAGTGCAAAACTGTCAAATACCCCACAATATTGGTATTTTTGGAATTGTGGTGACATGTGGGAACCGGAAATCGATGTCTGACGTCACTTTGAAATCCAAGATGGCGGTTTCCGGTTAGAGAAAAACTGGGAAATACTGTCAAATACGCCACCATATGGATATTTTTGGTATCGGGATGACGTGTAGGGACTGGAAATCGATGTCTGACGCCATTTAGAAATCCAAGATGGCGGCTTTTGGCTAGAGAAAAACTGAAAAATACTGTGAAATACCCCAAAATATGTTAATTTTTGGAATTGTGGTGACATGTAGGAACCGGAAATCGATGTCTGACGCCACTTTGAAATTCGAGATGGTATCTTCCGGTTAGAGAAAAACTGGGAAATACTGTCAAATACCCCACAATATGGGTATTTTTGGAATCGGCACGATGTGTAGGGATGTCTGACGTCATTTTGAAATCCAAGATGGCGGCTTCTAGTTAGATGACTGGAAATGGCTGTCAAATACCCCACAATATGGGTATTTTTTGGAATCGGGATGACGTGTAGCGACTGCAAATCGAAGGAAGTCTGTTGGGCCGTTTGCTATACAGCATCTACACTTCCAACATTCCTCCCCTTTGGAGGCATCAGACATTGATTTCCGGTTCCTACATGTCACCACAATACCAAAAATATCTATATGGTGGGGTATTTCACAGTATTTTCAGTTTTTCTCTAACCGGAAGTTGCCATCTTGCATTTAAAACTGGCGTCAGACATTGATTTCCGGTCCCTACACGTCATCCCGATTGCAAAAATACCCATATTGAGGGGTATTTGACAGTATTTCCCAGTTTTTCTCTAACAGAAAGTCGCCAAGATGTTTTGAGATAATTTTAAAATAATATGGGTAGAGAACTACTTTGGCCTAATCGCTCATTTTGGGCCTATCGAGCAGAAAACTTCAAATCAATCCATGATTTCAGAGTTAATAAGTCAACTATGCGTTTAGTACGACACTTCACTTAATATGCTACCGAACGAAGTCAATGAGAACGCGTGATATGAAGGTTTGCACCCATTATTCTCAAAAACAAATGAAGCGCTCCGACCGAATCAATTTTTAACTTCATCGGATAGGCCGAAGTGAATTCATTTGCGTTTCAATGGCGTTTAAATGCGTTAGGCCGAGTTTAGAATTCGTAGGCCGAGTTTGGCGTCAAGAAGCAGTGTTAGACTTTTGACAATATCTCGACGATTGGTTTCTCTTTATCAAATCGTACGGTACGTATGGAAAGGTAAATACATTTGGAGGCCATCAGTAATAATAACATTCCGTTTGGTGCTAAACTGCGCTAGATTAAGAAATACTAAGTGCGGGTTGGGCTTCATAGGCCGGATATAGGGTAGTTAACCCTATATAAAATATATTAAAAAAAAAATCTGGCACCACTTGCACGTTTATAAAATAACAACCCGAAAACACACCCGCCATACAACCTTGGTTCGGTTTTGTGTTTTTCAATTTTTACATACCAAACTCGTTTACCGGTAAACGAAAACCAAACATAAACCGGGGTGTCGTATAAACGAAACACGCGTTGGTTTACAAGCTTCGATGGAAACACAACCAGCATCTAAACCAAACACGATGTGTAGGAGTCGAGAACACGTGTTGTGCTTTGCTGAACCGCACCGGTACGCAACCGATTTTTTTTTTCCCAACTCTGAGGTGAATCAGAAGAATTATTAGAGAAGGAAAGAAGAAGACACGGGTTCCAAACGAAACTCGAAAATCACGAAGAAGGTGAAACAGACATAACTGCATCCGGATGTAAAGCGTCTTATATAAATAACAACAACAACAACATCAAGTTAATGCATGAACTATATCACTCGGTTTGAGAAGAGTGCCATTTTCTTTTACGAATACAATAATAGATCAAAGCAAATGAGTACCAAAAACGAGTTTTCAATTTGACGGTTGGAAGCATATACGGCCACTGAGAATAACTCAGAGAGAAAGTTACTTCTACTCAAAGGTATGGAGAATTAATATCTAAAACTGCAGGTACTCAGCTCTGCGAATACAATTGAGTAGAAGTGACTCTCTCTGTCTCTCTGAGTTATTATGAGCGGCCATATAAAAACAGATGCTATGTAAAAATGACTCACCTATACAACCTAAGATCCAACATCTTTACATAATCACCGCATTTTGGCACAATAGCGCAAACCTCGATGATTTCGTAGCAATATAATACCTACTCTGTTTGTCTTATAAAGGGTTAACCCTTTATAAGACTGAGGAAACCAAGCCTGGAAACAACTCGTACTACAATAAAAAAAATTAAGTTACTTGGTGTAATGAACAAATGGAATTTTATTTTTGAAAAATAAGCCAAATCATTTTTATGGAAAAAAAAGTGTCAAAATTTAGGTTTTTCTCCATCAAAGGTTAAAGGGGTGTTATTTTTCTGGGTGCGCTTCTAAATTCCTGGGTTCTTGACCGCTGATTTATCAAATATTCAAGGTTTATCAGTATATTTTTGAGCTACACTGTTGGAAGTTAGAGCAGTTTTAGTAAATCTCTTCTTCTTTTAGCACCTTAAAACAAACTACTATATTTTAAGAATAATAAACCAACTGAGCTGAGATTTCATTTCTCATAGATTGTTCAATTGGCATTAATTCTACTCAAACACGTTCAGTATAAACATTGTTATAATCAACATTTTTTTTGCTCGTTAATGGCCGTTAGTTGACACAAACACTGCTCTAAATTTGTCATTTTTCGTTTGTTATGGCTCAGCAAAATAAGGAGTGTTGACAATTGCCAGAATTATCCAGCAATTGCAAAGATATTGTGAGAGAACGGAAAACAATATGAATTGTTGGTGGCAATATAGTTTCGACTGCCTTACAAAGGATTAAGCAAACAAAATGTCTTCTTTCCCCATGATGTTTTTCGACGTTTTTGATCTGGAAAGACAACTGTTCTTAAGCGATCCTGTTTAGTTTAGATTTATTTTAATAGACAGAATATGGATTGTAGCTCGTAATGCCTTTATCACTGTTTTCTTAGCGTGGTTACCATAACGTCGGTTTCATACAATACTATCGTAAGATGACATTTTTCACTTTTGTGATTTTGTGCAGTTGCATCCCACAAAAAACACATTTTGAAATTCATGAAAAATCGAATGTTCTAGGTAGATATGCCTTTCCAATTTTTTCTTCAAAAATGCCAAAAATAAAGCAGCATCATTGGTACATTTTGAGTTGTGTGTATGTTGCCCATATGAATATGCTATTTTGTTTTCCTGAAGCATGTTGTTTTTACGCAACTCAAAAAAGTGATCCTAAAATGTTTACTGTTTTATTTTTTGATCGAATATTTTTAGAGAATAAATGAAACACATTTGACTCTGTCCAATGGAAATGAAAAGGTTCATAAAATTGAAACTTTACGCAAAATGCAGAAGTTTCCTTGGATCCGAATTTTAAAATTCACAGATTTGGAGTTGTGACAGTATTGCACGAAACCAAGGATGTAATGTGGATTGATTGAACCGGTTTTAAAATCTGTTACAAGATCACATGATGTTTTGTGCTGAAATCAGGTGAATCTTGCCAATTTTCAGATAAATACTCTTTGATCTTCAATCGTTCCTATAAACTGCTAGATAATTAAGTATAATGAACCCAAATAACATGATGAGTAAACATCTTTACAATCAAAACCAGTTATAACAAAGGTTTTTGTGTGTTGTTTGGGGAAGACATTTTGTGTTAATTTCGACTTCTTTTTAATAACTGTGGCGTCAAATTAAAGTTCGGAAGGCTGACTTTCGAAATAGTAGCTCAATATCTCGAACCAGGGCAAATCTAAGTGATTTTTTTTTCATCAGAGAAATGCGCTTACACTCGCTTGAAGCATCAAAAAAACAAACTCATCTTTGAATAACTGTGGTCGTCCTGAAAAGGACGGTTTTGTTTGTTTGTCAAGAGAAAATAAATCTGCAATTAATCTTTCTTCTCGGTCTTCTTGGGCAGTAGGATGGCCTGGATATTTGGCAGCACACCACCCTGAGCGATGGTCACTCCGGACAGCAGTTTGTTCAACTCTTCGTCGTTGCGGATGGCCAGCTGCAGGTGCCGTGGAACGATTCTGACCTTCTTGTTGTCACGGGCGGCGTTTCCTGCCAACTCGAGAACTTCAGCGCCCAGATATTCCAACACGGCAGCCAGATAGACGGGAGCACCGGCACCAACGCGCTCGGCATAGTGGCCCTTCCGGAGCAGACGGTGAATGCGTCCGACTGGGAACTGCAATCCAGCCCGGTTCGAACGGGTCCTTGATTTTGCCTTAACTATTCCTCCTTTGCCACGAGCAGACATGGCTTGATGTGATTCGGTAGATGACTTGTGTTAAAATGAAATCAATAGCTAAAGGCAAAAATCGCACTTTTATCGTTTGGGTGAAACAATGGTCTTTTATACCAGCGTCGAGTAGCGTATTTTGTATACAAGGAGGGTTTAACCATCACTATATAATAGCAAAATACAGAAAAGGGTACGGGTGTTGGTTGCTATTCTGTGGGTATAAAAACAGACGACCTTCCGTGTCGAAGAATATTAGTTATTTTCTACTCAAGTGAACAGCTTTATCTACAATGGCACCGAAACTCAGTGGAAAGGCCGCTAAGAAGTCCGGCGAGGCTCAGAAGACCATCGTCAAAGGCGACAAGAAGAAGAGAAGGCAACGCAGGAAGGAAAGCTACGCCATCTACATCTACAAGGTGTTGAAGCAGGTCCATCCTGATACCGGAGTCTCTTCGAAGGCCATGAGCATCATGAACAGCTTCGTCAATGACATCTTCGAACGTATCGCTGCTGAGGCGTCCCGTCTGGCTCACTACAACAAACGGTCGACGATCACCTCCCGCGAAATCCAAACCGCTGTCCGTCTGCTGCTGCCGGGTGAGTTGGCCAAGCACGCCGTCTCCGAAGGAACCAAGGCTGTCACCAAGTACACTAGCTCCAAGTAAATTCGCAGTACCTATTCAAACAACCGGCCCTTTTCAGGGCCACCAAAATGATTTTTAACTTGAAAGAGTTCAAATTTTGGAAACAATTTCTTCTTTAAATGGACATGATGTGTTGGGTATAGCAGCTGATATTGGTGTTGGCGTATTGTTTTATAATGGCCGTGGCTATTGTTTTTGGTTGAGTTGAAATGCATTCCAAGTTATCGGTTCTTTTCAAGTTCGCTTTGGTTTGGCCACGGTACAATTATATAAATTACTGGAAACGCATGGTAGCTCACTAGTGGCTGTCGAGGAATATAAGCTACCAAGCGTCCACTTTAGATGGATAGAATAGGACAACCAAAGCTTATATAGAAATTTAATGGTGAATACAATTACAATGCTAATGATCATCGCCCGAAACAGGAGTATGCGAGGAGGGACTGGGCTAATTGAAATAGTCGTTTATAAGAAAGATTGGATATCGAAGAGCATAGCATTTGAACATTGAAAAGATTACACTTCTCACAAAAAACCAAATTGATCAACCAACGATGAGAAAACTGCAACGAAGTCATAAAGAGCTATTGTTCATATTCTGTCACATAAAACTTCTACTAACACTACTCATTTTCGCATAGTCATCTTTGCAGATCAAATAACAAAAGGTGTATAAGGTGTGTAGCTTTGAACGCAGAGAGCATCGAGTTATGATACCGGAATATTCAAGAGAGCGTCATCGCGTTCGAGCCTGCATACATGTGGTACTGGTAATAGGCCAAAATTTTGCGCTGTTATTTATAGGAGAGGAGTTTTAAAACACTTATGTTTTTCAAATGAAATACTTTTAATTCATTTGATTGTTACTGTTACTGTGATCAAAAATAAAAATCTACCTGTTTGAATCACTTTTGTTTAGATTTTTTTTTGTTAATTTTAAATATTTAATATAATACATCTATTGAGTAGCCTTTGAGCTTTTATCCTCCTTAGAATAATCGAAAAAAAAATTAATGCTTTGAGAAATGCAAGCATTCTGAAATTTCAATCCCATACCTCACAATGTAAAATTTTGCAATCTACGTCATTAAGCCTTTTCTTTTTAAAATGGCCACCAAACGATTCAGTTTTGATGGTCTATAGCAGCATTTCTCAATCTATGGAAGTTCAGACAGGATGGCCATTGTATTTAAAATTATCCATATTGAGTTACAATAACAACCTGTTTCAAGAGACGAACCAGCTAAGGGCTGTAGTCTCTATAATGAAGCAAAAGAAGAAGAAGAACCTGTTTCAAAATCAATTAGGGATTTTGAATGCCTTTTATTGTGATTAATTAATTATTTTGGTGGTTTATGGCGTTTTTAAGACTATTCCATAATCTGATTTCAGATAGACTTTCTAAACCCAGTTTGGATAGTCCATTTTGACCATCTTGGGTCCTTTTTTCGTTTCATTATTATTATAAGATTTTTAGTTTTCAAGATGATTATATAAGTTGTCATTTTGAGTGTCGATATTAACATAATTTTGGCATTTTTAAAGCTAATCTCGGCCATTTTAATGCTATTGTGGTAATTAATGGACTAGTATAGCAATTGCGTTTTGAAGCTATTATTTCGATTATACGTAATTTTTAACCTTTTAAGGTTCATCCTTAGCTTTACAAGTTGGCCCGGAGTCGTTGTTTTACAATTTCTTCGTTTTGGGTTGCCCTATGTAGGTTTAATACTACTTTGTCGATTTGATACCACTTGATGCGTTTTGATGTATCTCTCAAACATTTGAGATCATTTTTGTACATTAATGGCAGATTTTGGACTGATTTGGAATTCGTATTTAGTATAGCATGTTTGGTTGATTTTCGTTGTTTTGGGTCGCAAAAAAACAAAAGTTTAAGAACCGCTGGCTTATAGCATAAAGATGGAATGGTGGTCCTAAGCAGAGTTGCCAACAGTCTTATAAAAATCACCGACAAATTAGACCCAAACAAACTGGAAGAAAATTGAAATCTCATTAAAATTTGATTTTCAAGTTTGCATTGCAAATCTCTGAACTATTCAAGATTTTTTACCAAAGTTTTCTTTCAATTTGTTTATTTAGTTTAGCATTGATAAACAAACTATACGGTGCCAAGTGTTTTTAAATCAATACTGACCTAAGAAGTTGTAGCATAGCTAATCAACGCTTAAATTTTTAAATGGAAAAGTTCACTAAATATTGCAGTACAAAATAACCTATCCATCAGAATTGACAAATCTGATGTCCAATAGAATCAACCATGGCAATTGAGAACTTTGATCACAGTATCACACCAGCCAGCAACGCAACAACAACTGGAAAGTAAAAACTAAGTGTGAGTCGTCTCCACGAAGCCGTTGTAGAGAGATTCTGTGACACTACCCCGAATGTCACTACCCCGAACGCCATAACCCCGAACGCCGTTACCCCGAACGCCGTTACCCCGAATAGTACACTACCCCGAATGGCCATTACCACGAATGGCGACTACCCCGAAATTAAGACAAATAGAAGAACAGCAAGGGATAAATTTTTGAGAAGGAAATTTTCTTTTCTAATTAACCACTTCATTCGAGCACTTAAAATGACGTTTACTACCACTCGAACTTTGAAATAAAACATTATTTTGAGATTTTTTCTTCTAGAACCTCGAGAAAAGTAGCCAACATTTGTGCGTTTTATAATTAAAAATAGAAATTAGTTGGTCCAGTTTTGTGAAATCGCTGGTAGAAAGTCACGCCAAAACTGCTTGACAAAGTGGTCAATTTATACTGAATACAAATAATAGGATTCTATAACATTCCCCAGAAAACCATTCCCCCGAAAACCATTCCCCAGAATCTCATTCCCCAGAATGCACCATTCCCCAGAAAAGCATATCCCAGAATGAACCATTCCCCAGAATGTACCATTCCCCAGAAAAGTATGCCATGTATTAGATTGACTATTTTTGTTTATTATAGTCATTCCTGGAATATTCTTTCGCGTATATAAAAAGAAAAGAAAAACTTATTAGGATATGTTTATAAATTATGTAGACAGTTTAGGGAAGGGGGGGGGGGGGTGTTGGCAATTGTGCACGGTCCATACAAATTTTAAAAATTTTGTATGGAAAATTGTCTACGCAGGGGAAGGGGGGGGGGGTCAAGAATCCCAAAAAAACTGTCTACGTAGTTAATGAACAGCCCCTTAATGGCTCAAGGGGGTTTCCCATCTTTGAAAATATAACAATAGGAAATAATTAATTCTTTGGATATACGATAAAGAAGGGAATATTCCCTTCTTTTAATATATAAAAGAGAAAATAATCAATTCGTTAAATATATGATAAAGAAGGGAATATTCCCTTCTTTGAAAATATAACAAAAGGAAATAATTAATTATTGGATGAACGATAAAGAAGGGAATATTCCTTTCTTTGAATATATAAAAAGAAAATAATTTATTCTTTGGATGTATGATAAAGAAGGGAAGGGAATATTCCCTTCTTTTAATATATAAGGAAAATATGTAATCAATAGCTTTTGGCAAGGGATTCGGGGTAATGACCATTTAGGATAATAACGTGTGGAATAATGTTATAAATTTGTAATCGATAGTTCAACGTTCCATGCACCGATTTTTCAATCCATAACGAGAAATTCTTCAACTCAGGTCTAGACTCAGGTCGAACAATTCTTTGATAAGGTTCAACAGTTTCCGACTGGTATTGCATATTGAATTGGATTGCATATTAGACCCTTTGGCTTTTTAAATGGTGAACGAAGTGCTCGAAAACTTGAAGGTTGTCATTTTCTAAAGAGCTTTAAAATGGTTTGGAATTGATAAATACATAGTTCCATAAAAGTAAACGTAGTGTATCATCAATTTAGTAAAGTGAAACTAATCAGAGAGTTTAATCACAGACAACAGACATAACACTTTGAAAAAGTTTTTCTTGAAAACATAGTATCTCAAAACATAGGACCTCAGTAACGACATCTCTCGGGCTTCTCGCGTAAAACAAGCTTGCTCGCTTGCAAGCTTCAAAATTCCAATAAAAAATTATCATTTGTATTCAGTATAAATTCCAAAACGAAATTTCCTTCTAAAAATGTACCCTTCTTTTGACCCCTTGCTGTTCTTTCACTTGTCTTAATTTCGGGGTAATGGCCATTCGGGGTAGTAGGGCATTCGGGGTAATGGCCATTCAGGGTAGTAGGACATTCGGGGTAGTGGCATTCGGGGTAATGGCGTTCGGGGTTATGGCGTTCGGGGTAGTGACATTCGGGGTAGTGTCACAGAATCTGTAGAGATTGTTCTACAAAGCTGAATATTCTACAAGACGTTTGTAATCAGTTAATTTTTCAACTTATGAATTAGCTTTGACAGGAGGCGGCTACCTAAAAGCTGTAAGAAGCAACATCAAT